GTACTTTCATTTCCATATCCCACCCTTCAAACCAAAATATTGCCATGTAAATATAACTGCTTCACGGCAGAAATACGAATGAGACAGAGATAGATAAGTAATGCCTTCTGTACAAAGTCTCCCTCCTGTATATTATATACCTACTGATTTATAAATTTAAGGTAATGATAATATATCATAAATGGATAGAATTTAGTACTCAAATTACCTCATGTTTTTTTAATTTTATTTAATTATTTTCATTTTATATTAATCAATAAATTACCATTAAATTATAGGAAACAGGTTTGTTTTGTGTCTATATTTTATGTACGAATCATCCAGTGTACGAGTCCAACTGGAGTACTACCCTATCATGATGAATTAATCATGATGGGCTAACTGGTCTGTTTTCATCCTCATCGATCACCCTTTACTGGTGCCCCATCAGTGTATCCCATTAGCGCAGGCGGGTTTACAACTCCATTTTCATCTAATAAAAAAAAAAAACTGGAGTACTATCTACTTACAGTATTAATATCTTCTTAACAGACTAAAGTACGTCTAACGTACAACGTGAACTATTTTCTTATTTATACTATCATTTGTTAAACATTTAAACTAGTTCAGAACGATCTACAAAACAGACAATAAAATAAGTATACAAAGTATCCAAAATAATATATATTTTATGAGTAGCAAAAGTTAATGCTAATATAAAAATATATTCATATAAAATGCCATGATTCCATTGAGGGATTTTTTTTGTGGATTTAAATAATTTTTATAGTTAAATATTGTATATATACTTATAATATTTTATATAATTTACTTGCTGTTACCCATAATTTCATCCACATGACCGGAATTTTCACACTCATTTATCAACCGACTTCAAAAAGAAGGAGGTTCTCAATTCGATTGTTTTTTTTTTATTGTTTGTTATGTAATAATTCCGGCAGCTCTAAACCAATTTGGTATTTTTATATGTGAAAGAATATATTTATAGATTAGCTCCATAGAAATTTTACCAAAAGAAGATTAGTGGTTTTTGAAGTAAAATAATTGACTTTGTCACAGTTGAAGACTTTTTTTTTGTGGGGCACAATGTTTAATTATAATATTAGTAAGGAAATTATGTTGTATAATAAAATATAAAAACCTGTGTTATGATGTTCATGTTATGTGTTATCTGCTTCAATTTGAAAATGGATATTTTTTTCCGGTATGACAAAGTGGACCTGGTATGTGGCTGCAGAGGATAAAATGAAGTTTATCGTGTCAGTTAGTAATAGTAATATTATTGTTATAAGTAGGGTACGCGATAAAAACAGACAGGTGTGTGAAATACGTTATGCTACGTCTAAGGTGAAAAAAATACTGTTCGCAAATATATTTAGAAAGTATGAACCCGGTAAATCGTAGACTTTACATGTAAAGTTATTTTTTTTTTATTTATGTGCGTAAGTCTTTCTTGCACTAAAACATAAAAATATATAATAATAATTAATAAGTTCAAGTAAGTACAGTAGCATAAAGTACAGATCAAAATATAGACATAAAGGTACAAAAGGCGGTCTTATCGCTAGAGCAATCTTTTACAGACAACATTTGATTTAAGGAGAATAGATACAATAACAGTTCATTAGCCCATGAATGAGTATGTCTTATCAAAGACGTAGGTACTATTTAATTTTATCATACCGTGCACTTACTGTCACAGAAAAACAATCTTTTACGTGAAACTGAAAATAGCTCATGATTATAATGCAGGAAATGTACGCTGGGTTTTGTTATCTGAATTATAATTAGATATATATTTTATCTTGACTATCAAAGAAAAGAGGGTAGGTAATATGTAAGTATCTAGTATATATCGCTATAATAGCTTTTGTATATAAATGTGTTACTTAAGTATTATTAGTAGACGTGTTTAAGTTTACCCAGCATCCGTGAAATTATTTAAGCAAAATGTAGTGTAAATAGTTAACAGATTTTTTATAATCGTTCTATAATTTGCTTTATCAATAGACTAAGATTAATTTTCAAATTACAACAATAAATTATATGTCGACTGAATGAAATACATATCGGAAAAATAAACTATCAAAGACTTGAAAATATTACGCACTTGACTTTTGTGACTTTGTAAAGTCCATCATGTGTCAAGTATAGTTATGTAGAAATATCGTTTTATTTCACACATTAAATATAATATATATATAATATACCCCGAACCTGTATATTCATGGCATATACTTAATTTTTTTTATACAACTTAGAATGGCAAACAAGCTGACGGTCTACCTGATGGAAAGTGGTAACCGTCGCCTATAGACATGAGCTGTACCATGGACATAACAGAGTATACTGTTTCACCCATGATACCCCCATGCGTTGCCATTCCTAAGGACTCAGGTGTTATTCCTCTGTACCCAGTAAATTCACGTCATAATTAATACATAATTTAATGACTAACAAGTGTATGATAACTTTAAATAACCAGAATTATGAATTTCCACACCTTCAAAGTTTATTACGAGTAGTTATTTCTCATATCTTCTGTTTATTTGATTATCCGATTATAACGTATGTTTACTAAGGAAACCTTATTTTAAAACAACTGCTTTATTATTTTTGTGAATTTAATAATCTATTACTACCGTCATTAATAGATAGAGTATTAGATCAATAGGACTTCCTAGGTTACAATCTAGAAAAATCATCCCTATTTATATATATTTTTTATGGCAAAAGGGCAAACGAATATGAGGTTTACTTGATGGTAAGTGACTAACGTACCCATGAGCACTCGTAACACCTGAGGCATTGCAGGTGTGCTACCGGCCAAAATATATATCCTTATAAATATATCCTTAGAAAATGAAATAAGCCAACGATGAGACGTTGTTGTTATATGTTGAATACCTCATATTTAAAAATGGAATCGTTTGACATTTCCATCAGGCCGGCTGTCAGCTTGTTTATTATTGCATAAAAAAAAACTACGTAGTAGTAGTACGTTTGAGGCAATTTGAAAAATGCAATAATCATTGTTTACTGCAACTAAATGATGTTTTTCCTATTAATATTTACCGATTAAAAAGGTTATCAAAACCAGTATCGGCGATAGAAAGGGAGAGGGAGGGAAAGTGACGGGGGCGCTGATTTTAAAAGTGGATACCGAGGTCTATGTGAATACAGATGGAATGAAAATGGAACTGTAACCTCGCCTGAGTTATTGGTTATATATTGATGGAGTACCAGTGAATGATGATAGATGAGGATGAATTTAGATCAGTTGTACCATCGTAATAATCCATCATGATGGTTTTAAGGGGGAAACCACACGGAGTTTGATGTTTTTTTATAACACAGGGCAAACAAGCATGTGGCTCACTTTATTAGTATATATTGCTAAGAATATAACTAGGAAGAGTAGGCTAAGGCCGGTCTTGATCAGGGTTATACCTGGTGGAGGTTGCTATATTCTTTTTATTTTACGAATGATTACGAATTTTTACCCAAGAAATAAAATAACAGTTGAATTATAAAAAAAGTTGTCGATTGCTAAAATTATTGTATTATATTCATTTAATATTATATAAATTCTGAGGCTTGAGGAACCTGAGTTGAATTTGTTATTTTTCGTTTCTGTAGGAATTGAAAGAATATAATAAAATTTAAAAAATTCTGGATTTTAATTTCTATAAAAATGATAATTATTTTTAACACTTTTTGATGTTACATTGATTATCCTAACCTAGTATAGTGTTGTATTATCTGTGACCTAATTAACGTGTACGCTATTTAATAACTTTATTTATAACACCTATACATTAAACCTTCGACTGAAACAGTCGTAATATTTAATTTATGTAATTATATAGAGATAAAAATAAGTCACATAACAGTAAAATATATATTAGTATCAAAAAATAAAAGATTGAACATGTTTCGGGCTCATCCGGGATTTGAACCCGGGACCTCTCGCACCCGAAGCGAGAATCATACCCCTAGACCAACGAGCCGTAGTCTCGAGTGCCTAAAATAACGACCTAAATAAACGTACCACCTCATCATGTTATCAATGACGTAATTCTGTACGAGTACAATGCATTATATGCATGTTTCATTTCTTGTGAAAAATACCATAACTATATTATGAGCAGACATAATTTAAAAAACTGATAAAATACATCTATAGTAGTTTTTAGGAAATAGTTGTTATTTATATTAATAAAATTTTATGTAATTTGTTAATACTTACTTAAATACTTACATTTAGAAAAAAAAAATGAATATAAAAGAAATATAGATATCGGAAAAAGTTCTTGGAAATATTATTGTATAAAGCATTTTTAAAGGATATCGCAGAAATGAAATGTTATCATAGAGTTGAGAGCGTACTACTTGTATCTATTCTAATCTAATAGACGGAAAAGAATATCATAAATTGGCCGCTATTACCGATATATTATATTAAATACGTTTTAAATGCCAATAATAATACCCGCCGACCACTTCCGAGATGATGACGGAACGTTAAATTTTGCCAGATTTACCCCTCGTATGTGATTATAGGAAATAACGGCCATGGACGTGATGGTGAGAGCTCTACTCTAGCCGTTATCAACTCATGCAAGAAACGTTAACGTGTGGTACATACTTAGTGGTAGTGCCGAGGTGCCACTCCAGCTATAAGCTATTTAATGTACAAGCTTAGGAAGAAAAAAATAGGCACGCATTGATCAGTGATCGTGTGCTGAAAGAAGACAGAAGACACGAAAGGCGCACAGCTACTCCTGTGCGTTCCAGCTGAAGATATACCTTTGAAATAATTTCTAGCCAGATCTAAATGCTATTTATTTGCAAAGATCCGAAATACTAAGAAGGTGTGTATGATCTTTGAGATGAGTACGCGAGTGACACCCAGGACACCGCTGTAGACAAGGCGTAGAGAAGTGAATGTGGTCGATATAGAAAATTGAAAGTGTAGACGGTAATTCTGGCAAAATCACCTCGTGCGGTGGCTCCAGGTCGTCATCAGGCTGCGGCGCGTCGGCGGCCGCCCGCCACGCCCGCCCGCTCCTGCCCCACACAACACCACCGTCACTATCAACAGTCTCAATACTTCAGCTTTACTATGCATTCACGGTCCACACAGCTACATAAACATTGCACATTCCACATTTGTATTTATCATTATCGCTTTATATGTTTCATATCGTTGTGTATACTCATTAAGAGTTTATGAATGATTTAGACAAATTGCCTGGTAAATATCCAACGTCTTCTACCAAAAGTCTTGAATATAATTATTTATATATACTAAAATATATTAATGAACTTAAAACTAGTATAGAGCGCATTGTGAGCCCAATCAAGAAATAGATACATTATTAACAAATATAAACAATCAGTTACATCATCATGGATCGATTGAATTTTTATAGGTAGTAAACTTGAAATACTCCTTACAAATGCATGACAATATCATTATACTGGAGCGGGGACAGTAAATGTGAACGTTTATATAGTCATAAAGCAATCGATTTCGATACCGAATAAAAGTAGAAGTGTTGGCCGCAGGCCAATGAGTTGCCGGATCTCGGGAGCGAGTGCTAAGACAAGGGCCAGTAGAAAACTGTGGATTATTTTCGCTGTGAAATGTAAAAGAGCTAACGAAAGCGACTGCTTGACGAGGACTTAGCTTTTGCTTTTGCACTTTGAGGGTTCTTTAACGTTTAAGCACCTTTGTAGAGGCACCACAGTGATGAGGGATTTACGTTTCGCTCATTAAAGAGTGGCAAGTTTTACGCTCAGAGCTTTGATGAGGTCTTTATCCGACAGCGATTTTAAACTAAATTTATACAGTGGACTAGTATATTTTTTATTTTAGTCCAATTTACTTCTAAGTGCTCGTAATTGTGATTCAGTTGCAAATAATTTGGTGATATTAGTCACCTGTAACTTTGGTCGTGCGGTGGCAGGCCCAACCCGGAGTCTTCGGAGGGCGAGCGATGATCGGCCACGAGAGGTGCCTCCGCCGGCCCCTCCTACAACAATAACCCGCAACCTCACCCGATCGCCTCACCAGAATAATGTAAAATAATTCCTGATGATTCAATGTCCCATCCTATTTTCTATTTAGTAGAAATAGCTTATTGTATTTAATGGCCTTTTAAAAGTAGTTTTTAGGAGGTTCATTAACTTAAAACTTTTTGAAATATGTGTATGTAGAGATAGTTCATACGAAAATTTATGTCGAAATAATTCTTATATAGCTGTAGAAGTGTAATATGAAAATAATATAGTCCGAAACCTGTTTCATTTTTTAGGATCAAATTTTGCTCAATATAAATGAGTAGAAATATTTATTTATAAAATGAGGACGCGTATTTATCACGACTTATCTTTCACGAAGTAGACAATTATTTACGGCTTGAAACCTTTTAACGTCTAAACGTTGTCATTCCAAATTAGTTCATATCATAGATTATGTCATAAAGTTCAATAAGCACAAAGTACTACCATTTAAAGCTAGGGGTGGCTAAAACACCGATGGAACATGCAACAGCAAATATTGTGATATAAAAATGTGCACTTACCGGGTCGTGCAACTCATGCATCGTCGAGGAGGGTAGCATATGCCGTTCGCTCCCACGCTATGGAGAAATTATAAGCTCAACTATTTATATACACTAATTCTTAGTACAATGTGCTTACGGACTACGTGGTGATATTATTCCAAAAATGCTATTTTGCATTTTCATGCAATAGATTGTCCATTCGTGTTAACATATTATAGCTAACCAAACAATCAATATTATTAGTTAATATTGGGAATTTTTTAACTCTTATTATGTAATTTATCGTTTATTAATATTGTTTTATATTAATTAATGTATTAATATTAACTAAAAATTATAAAGTTTAATAATCAAAATCTAGAATACCGTACATTATTTTAATATAATGTTAAATAACTTTTTTTATTCGTTACGGTGTGTATACCATTTTTTAGTTTTTGATACATAAGTTACATGTTTCTATAAACTAAATATGTGTACCTAACAGATATTCTAATAATATTTTTTGGTCATGTTTAGTCTATGTAAATATTTCTACTAAATGAAAAACATATTATAAAGTAAATGAAACAACCTACAAATAACTATTTATTCATAAATAACTAGATATACATTTCATTTTTATCGTTAAATGTGTCACATTAATATTGGACTGCATAATAAATTTCCGTATTATTTATTTTAATTAACGTAATATTTTTTAACTCGAAAAGTCTACTAAATATGAAAAATATTTGAAGATAAATTGCACAAATAAATTGAGTTGTATACCTAGTTAGTCTCTCTTCAGCGCAAACGAAGCGCGAAATTCTAATTAGTTGGACCAGGTGAGACACAGATTACCAGATTACAGAATGGAATCGCTCCTAATGAACACGCCGAAAAAGCTTTTTCACTGCCTAATTTTTACTAAGTGAATACTGCCCATCTAAACCACTGAGTATGAATATTCGAATCTTTCATTATATGGAATTAGTGACTAAAGTGTAAAATACCTTAAGATGATGGTCGACAGGTTCCTCTCCGCGTCTATATACTAGCTCGTCGAATCTGGGCCGGTCTTCTGGAAGCATGAACTCCCTAATCTCTGTTAGGAGAGTGTACTGCAACAAACGATATTATTGATCGACTTACAAACAAGTTATTCTTAGAAATGTATTAGAACACAATTTAAGATGTTGTAACAAAAAAGAAACCTAGCCATAATTTAATAGTGGCAAAATAATTAAAGGACTAACCTGACTGGTAACATACATTTTGGTTGATATATTACATATATTTATACGTAAGTAATAAATCTTACTAATATTATAAATGTGAATGTTCTTTTGTATATTTATCGCTCAACTTCACACTTAAATGACGCAACAGATTGAATGAAAGTTTCATGAGTAGATCATATCCTAACTTAACACATGGAATAAGTATTTTATATACTGAATCACGCAGGCGAAGCCGAAAAAGACTTATACCTAATAAGCAGCTATTTCTTATAATGGCAGAATACTTGTAATTGTCCCTTGTATTCCACACGTGTGCCGTACTTACAAGTACATATATATAATACTATTTAGTAACTTCACTCTCACAATCTCAATTTATGCCAATTTAACTTTTGAAATTAACATAACCCGAATATGATGTCGAAACATTATTCTTAATTGGTCTTCGTGGATCATGTAAACTACAAAATTGTAATGCGGCATGGAAAATCCTTACAGGATAGGCTGTTCCACATTATATATTCAAATATATAAGCAAAAGTTACTTTTGCCTTCATATTATATTTGGATATTTTTTTTATTAGATTTATTTTTTAATACAATCTCGTAGGGATAAAGGGATTGTTAGTAATGGAGACTGAGAATCCCATTGCTAGCAATATACCCAACCAGGTCGACCTCCTCGCTGTTCTCCCTGGAAACTATCATAGTTAATTCCTGATGAATTCATCATGATGGGCTAACTGGCCTGTTTTCATTCTCATCTATCACCCTTCACTGGTGCTCCGCCAGCTTATCCCGTTAGCGCAGGCGGGGTTACCATACCATTTTCACCCATCAAAAAAAAATACAATCTCGTGTTAGCAAAATTTTAAATTACCTTACGATCATCTTTACAACTCCTTACACCATTAAAAATGTTAATATTAAATTATAAGAGATTTAACGCCAACAGTGTTTTAAAATTAATACTGTTGAGAAGAAACGCTGACAAAAACACAATATTATATACTTTGCAAACTTTATTAACGTTATTAGCTCTTTTTTATCGCTAGGTTTTCAAATCTGTACTTAATCTAGTACAAAGCATCTCAAAAAGGTTCTATATCTACGATTCAATACTAAATATATGCTGCGAAAATTCAATTTGTATCTATAAATTATACAAATTATTAAATAGTAGGCTTCTGGTATAAGTATACCTACTATATAATAAACGTCATGACAGATGAACAATTAAAAAACTTATATTTTATGAAATGAAAAATCGTCTTTTACATTCGTTTGTAATTTATGATTTTTTGATGGACGCTGTGATCCGTTTTGTTTTATTTCACAAAGTTAGTTCTTGTTATTATTCCAGATTTAGATAATGATAAGATGTGAAAAATTTAATCAAAAAGGTGTAACACCTAATAAATTTTTTCTTTTGCAGCAAAATAAAGAGGCACGATTTTAATTATATTCTTTTATCTATATAAAACAGATCATCAATCATTTTAGGAGCGGTTCGCGTCTGTTACAGTGTTCATTTGAAATCAATTTATCTTGAATTATCTAAATCAGCTAAATTTATACTTAATGGAGTGTATTGATGTGTTCTTTATCTTATATATATAAAAATCTCGTGTCACAATGTTTGTGGTCTCACTCCTACAAAACGGCTCGACCGATTTTTATGAAATTTCTCATGTATATTTGGTAGATATGAGAATAGATTATAAAGTATATTTCATACCGCTAGGTGATTAGGGTGTAACCAGAAAAAAATATTTTTATGGCATAACAACGTTTGCAGAGTTAGTACTAGATATAAAAATAGGCATCTTGTATTGTCTAATGATTTGATATACATAATACATTTACCAGAGGGAGACTTTGTACAAAAGTCGATTGCTTGGGTACCTCTGTCCCATTCGTGTTTCAACCGTGAAGCAGTTGTGTTTGTATGGCTGTGTTTCAGTTTGAAGGGTGGGATATGGCGTGAATTTACTGGGTATAGAGGAATAACATCTGAGTCCTCAGGAATGGCAACGCATGAGGGATATCATGGGCGAAACAGTATACTCTGTTATGTCCATGGTACTGCTCATGTCTATAGGCGACGGTTACCACTTTCCATCAGGTGGGCCGTCGGCTTGTCTGCCATTTCTAAGTTGTATAAAAAAAAATAGTTTTAATGTAAAAAGAATACATATGTTTAACGAATATTTTCATTAAATGGGTATTTTAATTTATTTTTTTAATCTGTAGCATTATATGACGCGGAAATTTCAAAATGTGAGACAAGTTTTTTTTTAATTTATTTCTAATACCTGAGTAAGAATAATCTATTTCATAAACTAAATTATAGGTTAATATAGTCATATGTCCATTCAACAATAATGAATATCCCTCTATTACAAATTTAATAATTATGTAGTACGTATGTATAACACCACTTTGGTATAGTGGGTTTTTACCGGTTCAGCTATAAAGTGTAACGAATTTAATCCTACATAACCCTGATATATTTATTACATTCCAGTTTACACATACCCTATCTAACGATCAAACTTAATGATGGAAATCTGTGTCCAGATAACCTCAAATAGATTTTATATTACGATACAATTAAATTCATTTATACACACGTTGATTTAGTTAAAATATTCCTGGTAAATGTAAAGTTCATGGACCAGCAAAGGGGTAGAATGGACAATTGAAACTGTTAAACGAATGAATGAATAAATTATTCATTGAATAATACATCACCGATCAGTATACATGCGTTATAATTTATTCACCATAAAAATCGAGAAAAAGTAAGTTTATTTTGAAGACAACATTTTTATATCTATACTATAGCTGTGCTCGCGACCCGCGAATTTATCTTTCATCAAGACTTCATTTTTGTGAGTTCGAAATTTCATCAAGATTTGCGATTACTATACTAGAGTTCTGTGTATATAATAATATGTTTCACTTAGGTGCCTATTTCAACTAGTTTCAAAAAGAGATTTTTGAGTAGGCTCATTTCTTTGTGCAAAGTTATACGATATTTTCGCTCATTTTGAGCCGCTTTTGATAATATTTCTTTTTAATTTTGTCCACATTAAAATCGGTTTTATGCAACAAAATCTTGAATTATTTTAATTGATCCATCTATAAGGAAAATTAATATGGCTCTACTTACCTTCTGTGGTGTATCGAGTAGATCCCTCAATACAGTTAAGAAGGCGTCAGGGGTGAGCCTCCTGGTAGCGTACTCTTCCATGTAGTACGCTAGAGCAGGCAGGTCGCTCTGTGGTAACAACGACCTCGCTTTCTGTTCCACAGCCACCGCCGCTGCGCCTCTTCTTCGGCCCCATCCGCTTATTCTGTCATCACAATAAAGTACATGTTAAAGGAAACTGAGTAGTTACATGTCAGTACCTACGTAATCTTATAACTACAAGGTCTTTAAAAATATTATGATAATCCATTACCTCATCATCCTATCAATTACCTAATCATCCTATTGAGAATAAAAGTAACAGGTAAGTAAGGTAACAGGTTTATTTTCCTTTCCTCTCCTATTGTTTCTTTTTTAATTATTTAAGTTTTTTTGTTAGGTTACTAATCCTACTGCTACTATAAATACGAATATTTGTGGGATGTATGTATGGATGGATGTTTGTTACTCTTTCATGTAAAAACTGTTAAACGGATTGAAATAAATTTTGGTACATGTAGATTATATCCTAATTTAACACATAGAATAATTTTCATACTGATTCACGTTAACAAAACCGCGGGATACAGCTAATCAAATTAATAAAACAATCATTTAGCAAATGATGGAATGTACATACCGTTAAAATGGTCTAGTTCTTACCTTGGCGCAGCATCTCGTTCCCCATACGCGGTACAAGCGTGAGGCACTTTCCCCACGTCCCGGACCAGTAACGACATACGTTTGTGGTACTTGAGCTGTGCGACAGCTTCGTCATGAGTTACGTCTACAAATGACTGCCCGTTCACCTCCAGGATCTGATCCCCCACCTAAACAAAAATAGAAAATATTGAAAACAACGGTAGAACATTTTAATGCCCATTTTTGGTTTGAACGTGATTTAGATCGTATCTTCTTGTTATTTTAATCAAAATAAAAATTTAAAGCCTTGTTTTGCAAAGAAATAATTGTTATTTTTGTTTTTTGTAAAATATATATTATAAGTTACAAGTAGTTAGGTGCTTTCTGTTTCTAAAACAAATTAAGTAGTAATTACATGTCAAAACAAAAATTTTGAAACATAGAAATAAAAAAATATTTATTCTTAAATAAAAATCCAAATTTTACTAATTGAAAAAAAAAATAGGTGTTCTTTGATTATAAATAATTTGTCCAGTGACAAAAAAATAAACTGTAGACAATACAGAGTAAATAATTAAGAGTTGCATCTGCTCCTATTTTGATATAATTGGAAAATGGATTCTATGCAAACATATAGGAACACAACAGCACAATAGAATGAATGGCTATTCATAATGTTATACAACTATTTATATTATACAATTATCAATAGGTATTATTAAAAACTTAGTTCCTTCGCAGATTTTCAAATTTAGTGAATTGGTTACATATATATCATATATTTTTTTTAGAATAGACGAGAGGATTAAAGGATTATCAGTAAGATTCATAATACCCTTCCCGATAAATTAAATTATAAGTCAATCTAAAATATTATATGACATTAACAACAACTTTAATTATAATAATATGATGCCATGAAGTAAGTAAAACTTGTGTGTATTATAAATTTAATAGAAAACGGCACGTATCTACTTCTATTTTTAAAATTATATAAAACAGTATTTATCCATGAAATATTCTCTATGCAAATGCTCTTACAAGGGTGGGTAACAATATTATTACCGAACCTGAGTAAACACGTAAGTAGATATGCTTTTTATCTCGGGAAAACAGGACACAGTTGCAGAAAGTCATAATTTTATCAAAACTTTCATACCAACAAATTATACCAAAATATCTATATACAATTATATTGTGAATTAGACTTGATTAGTACTGGATGTTGGTGATAAAAGTTTATAGATATAATTTATTTGTTTCGGATGTGGCGTGCAGTGGGCGTGGCGAGCGACTCTTGTACAAACACTATAAATTTTCCGCCACACCTCGCTTCAAGCACTCATGAGTTTAAGGTGTTAAACATTTATTTACTACAAATGCAATTGATTCTAGAAACTTAAAGATTTAAGAAAGAGACCATTACAAAATTATTCTTTTTATTATTTTCAATAAAAATCTACTCCACTAAATTGAAAAATCTACTCATTGATATTTTTTATACGACTTAGAATGGCAAACAAGCTGACGGCCCACCTGATGGAAAGTAGTAACCGTCACCTATAGACATGAGCAGTACCATGGACATAACAGGGTATACTGTTTCACCCATGATACCCCCCATGCGTTGCCATTCCTAAGGACTCAGGTGTTATTCCTCTGTACCCAGTAAATTCACTGCCATTACCCACCCTTTAAAACCAAACACAGCCATGTAAACACAACTGCTTTACGGTAGAAACACGAATGGTACAGAGATGTTCAAGCAGACGACTTTTATACAAAGTTTCCCTCAGATGAGGGAGACTATTTAACATTTAAACAATGGCATATCAAAGGGCATACCTGCCATAATAATAAATCGACTCCTTTTTATTTAGGTAATTAATTTAATTGAGTCCATAATTTCGATATTAATTCTTTATGAACTAATATTTCATAATATACGAGTGGAGAGACGACAAATTAACAAACAGGGATGAAGCTTCGTTTTTGCCCTTTGGGCAACTTACATATTGGTGCTATATAAATAGTCACAACACGAATAGAACATGGCAGAAATATTCACTAGAGGGGACAGATGTCAGTATATTTGACAGGGGACGGGAACAGGCGACGCGGAAAGAGGAGTACAGTGTGGGAGTTACGAGTAAATATTTAGTTTGAAATAGCAGTAGCACAGTTAGTTTTATCTGTTAAAACGTTATACAAAATAAACAAGTAAACAAATGGCCAATTATTTCGAATAACACTAAAATGTTGTCATTTAATGCCCTTTACGTCAAATCCAGTTGACTATGTCGCATACTGGCTGACTAAAATCGAAATAAATTAAAATTTCTAAGAAAGTATTCATTTTATTAGGTATTATGTATAAGAGGAGATGGACTTATTGTAGTATGTACTTAAGTGGTATGTGTAAAGGTTCCGCAAATGGTCAAGTAGCTTCAGTCAAGCATGTATTTTATATAATACCGCTTCAAAATAGAGACAGTACCGTCTGTGCCGTCTTCTTTGCTCTTACAAGCGGCAATATAATATACGTGCTTGATATATGAATAAGCTTCTTACACGAAATGTATAAGTAAATATCTATTACAAATTAATAAACTTATTAAGAATTATTTATTAAGATCAATGCTTCGTCTAGTTTTATTGCTTGGAAATGATAGCAACACCATTGTAATGTAACGTTGCTAAACCATAAACCTCCGACAAATCACTGCAATTAGCAAAGTTTCGTAACACGTTAAAAGTTAACATTTTGTAATCGAATAATATGTATTATTATTAATTAAAGAGTAATTAGTATTTCCTCTTATATTTTTTTATTATTATGACTAGTCTGCTTAAATATGTTTATATTCATAGACATCCTTGGCAATATTAAATAAATGTCATGCGAAATAGACTTAAAGTTCCATGGAAGTTTAATAGAAAGCGAACAAGCAATTTGGCACGTTGCGAGACACAGCTTTCAAGTCCCAGCTAACTTTGGGGCTATTTCGCCACGGAAACGCCACTTCGCCCCCACACTCACGACTATCTCTAATGTAATTCTATGTTAATTTGCAAGGAAGTGTAAAGTTATTGCAGTGAAATTAAAGTCCTTAACGTAATTAATTTGTCTTTACATTACTTTAGTGTAACCTTCATTATGGTTTACAAATAAAGCTATAAATAGTATAAAATATATTATAAGTATTTTATTATTATTTTTTTATCAGGAAAACTAAAAATTAAACTTATTAAATTATAAATTAAACGTTATTTTTATATTCTTCTCTTATGAGAAAAAGCACGTACTCAATAATTTATTATCAATATTACAATCTATTATTATTATTGTATTTTTTTTTTTAGTTTTTTACAAATAAAAATGAAAAGTATGCATTTTAATACAAGTAAGGCATACTGAAGTCTCGATTTCAGTAATTCAACTAATGCATGCTTCGACAACAGCTGGCGGTTGTCCAAACTGCACCTTATCTATCTGGAAAGAGATTAATGGAGGATATATGTAGCTATTGCCTAATCTACGACGAGGATAAAAGGGGGAATGAAGTTATTGGATTTTTTGGCACAGAAATGCTTTGTATATGCACGTAAAATATGCTATAAGTGGTTTGGCGGTACATTAAAAATATATTGTATAAAAATATATACCTTAAAAGTTATTTTAGATTACAATATAAATAATTGGGCAAGGGATGGGCAGTACCGTTACTCTTAAAACATTTCTAAAGTCTAACTGCTGTTGCCAATCCGCCTGCCAAGAGTGGCAACCAATGGCAAAAATTCCCAAGGGGGAGATTTATGTTCTGCAGTGGACAGTTTAAGTCTGATATAATAGTAATAATAGAAAAACATTAAAACAAAAACCATATTCTAGAATTTTACCCAAACCGTATTCTTATGATGACATTCAATTATATACCTGTATATGGATTAAGTATATATATATGGATTAATAAGATTGATAAGTATCATCAGGTCAACATGATCGATCAAGTTTGTTTTTTTTTTTTTATAAAACTACGATAGGTACTACAGTAACCGTGTACAATCAGATGGGCTGTAGGCTCGTTTTGCACATTCGTGGTATATTTAAAAAACTTATAAATCTCAGTATCAAACGATAAAACATTACCCCTTATTCATAAAAACTAAAACGTCGTTTAAATCTACGAGTGTTTTAGCTATTAGAGCGTCAAATTGAGATATTAGAGCAAAAGAAAAAAAAAACTTGAATACCTAAAATATTATATGTTTATGAGACGTTTGAGATTTTTATAAATAAGGGGGACAATCTATAATTAATATAATATATACAACCGCTACAAACGGTTAACACTTTCTATCGTATACATTTGTTTGCTTGCTTGCCAGTATAATTAATATAAAAGAAATAATAAATTTAGTATCTTTGCAGCTGTATCTTTTCTGAGTTATGGATGATTTATACTGACCTACATTCTAAAGGAAACAAAGAGAAATAAATAAGCAAGAATTTTTGTTTAGATAATATATATATTTTGCCTCAAACAACCCACGCAATGCTTTGTCAGCTATTGGGAACTTTAAAAGCTCCCCTACGCAAATTAAACACAATGGGTAACAAATTGTTTTCCTGGACAGTGTCTAATGTGTGATCATTAATTATGGCGGCAATAAAGGCACCGCCGTTATCAACAGTAATCAATATGTCAGCTATTATTGTATATTTTATTAAATCAAGCAAATATATAAGACATTTTTCATTTATCATGTTTGTAAATGAGTAAGGGACCTAATGCATTATTGCCAAACATTGGAAGTTCTACTATTAAGACAAATAAATTCTTGCAGTCAAATTTCATCATATCAAGCGTTAACTGTCCAATGCTGAACATAGGCCTCCCCCTATTAATGGTTTTGGCTAGCAGTTTGTAAACAGCAATTAAGCTTAAGGTGATGTTTAAAGAGAGTCATTGCTGCTCATCTCTTGACCATTAAGTTCCTTTAGGTGCCTCTTTTGACACATACAGGAAAGTCAATCAAATATTAATCAACAAATAGCTAGTGAAAAAATTGTTGTTTTATTTTTTATTATTTTTTTTTAAGTAAAAGTTAATGTAACTTGTTGGATTGATTAAATTTTAATAATTATTTTAATGAACTTAATAATTAATTGGTTAATAATATTTCTATTTCATAATTTGTGTGTAAAACAGAGTGTCGAGAAGAAAGAAAAACAGTTTAAAATAATAATTCCTTTTGTTGTCTTACAATTAACAATAATTTATTTACTAATTAGGTACTGAATATTACACGATATTCATGTAACTACTATTGTTACTAAGCTTATGTATTATTAAAATAAAGAAATTTAAATTACCATTAGTCCAGCTCTATCAGCTACAGATTCCTTGTCGACCCCAGTGATGTAAATGCCGAGATTGTATTCTAGACCTCCTCTAATCATCAGTCCTAATGACTGACCCGGCTCGATGCAAAGGTCCACCTGTTTACATAAAATAATATTACAACAAAATGACTTCTCATCCTGCAATGGAATACACATCTTTACCTTTGTGTATTGGGCTAAAAGCATCCTGTATGTGTTAATTCAGGATACCATTTGCGTACAAATATTGTATTCTAATTCATATTCACATTTAAGCGTGATTGAGTAATAAACATTTAAACAAAAATCTGTCGAATTTATTATCTCATTTGCCCACGAAATACATGTGACATTTTACGCCGTAGTTCATCTATGTACCAAATTTGATTGAAATATATCTAACCATTTCAGTGAAATCTAGTAAACAATTATTATATAAAATAATTGTTATCCTCTTACATCTATGTTTATAATATTGTAGCAAAGTATTACAGGATCTCATTAGGTGGACCACCTTTATTTTTACTTTTAATGGGAGCTCGTTACAGTTCTGAATTGTAGGAAGCGGTAAGCAGTTAAGTACTTCCTAAATACCTATTAGAAGTGTGTACTTAGGGCGGAGTCATAAAAGCGGCCGACCGTCAGCAATATTGACTATCTACATTATAATTAACTGGGATTGATACAACAACACTTCACAAATAACAAAATAGAAATATGATAGAACGATTTTTATTAAATACCCAACCAAACCGACGATTTTTTATTAATAATCCACAGAACCGCAATTTCTTGAGAACATATTTTTTAATGTTTATTACTATAATAGACACAGTTTTATCATCTAATCCAGCCTAAATTCTAAATTCAGAGGTGTAAATTAGGGAATAGTTCTGAAGCTCAAATTCATGTTCGGATCATTTTAAATAATTGTCCCGTAATTCTTACTTTAATGGATATGTAAAGCGATAAGTTACCTCATAGGCGAGTATTTATAACGAAAACGACCTCTTGACAATAAAGGGCAACACCCTCACATGTTTCACTTTATAATTAACTAAAATGCGAAATTAATTTTGTTTTAATTATAAATGGTTTTACATAGTAGCTATCTACCTAATATCATCTTAAATTAAGTTTTACGTTTAATGAAATCCGGAGAATTACAATATTGCGCAGATTTTAATGAAAATAGCTGGCACTTCTTTCATAACTTTTATGTAAAGGTACGTATTTAATACGCTACCATCCTAATGGGCCATGTTTTAATAGAGTTCATATGAGAAAAGTAATATAAGTTCATAAAATTAAAATTATATATATAGGTCTATCTATCTTTATTTGAAAAAAAAGAAGGTAAACTTCTAAAAAAAGTTTTTCAAAAGTTTACCTTCTCTTGCTCTGATATATTTGTTACATAATTAAAAAGGAGCTTATTTCGATTGAAATTATAAAAATGATAAAGATAATTAAAACTTTTTAAAAACACAAATGGAAAACTTAATAGCAAAATAAAATACCAGCAAGATAGTCATCTAGAGTATATAATAGAAAGAAGTTAATTTTTAAGAATGAAGTAATAACGAAGTAAGGTAATGTGGCATTTACTTGTCAATTTTCCAAAACAACTGAAAAATTCAATATTTCTGATTCATTATTTAAAAAGTGCTCTGCCTACAAACTAAAACATTAATGGTAGAATACATTGTACATGTATAAATCTATGACAAAAAAATTTCACTTGTTTCATATTTTGATTTGAAAATTTTCAAATACTTTTTGCCATCAAAGTTTATAAATTTTTAAATAATCAGCCTGTAATATTGAAAACTCTTTAATTGTTTTTGAAAATTCACGAATAAATGCGACGTTGCCAAATTTTGTAAATTAAAGTTTAAACGGTTTTAATCTGTGGTCGCTGTTATGCGTTGAAGACAATTTCATTGAGGAAATTATATATTATAGAGACGACAACATTACTTCGAACACTGGAGCACAGCCGACCGGAGCCAAATCGGACATGCCGCGAGCCTCATTACAACCACTAACGATAGACTCCAGTGGTCAGCGAACAGCGATTAGCATACCACAGCCCCGCTTTGCCCCTGCCCCCACCGACTCTGCTCTGCTCATATGCATTCTTGAATTTATGAGCGAGCCATTTGTATGTAAAATATTAAGATGAAATAAAATTACTGTAAAAATTTTAGGTGTTCGTTATCCAATCACGCATAAATAGCTGACTAGATTTAAATGATATCATAGTTACAGATTACGTCTACTTTCATATATAATACAAATTCGTTATATGTATAAAATGCAACGCCATTTCCTTTAGACCATAAAATTTCATTTTAGATAATCTAAGAAAATAAATTATATAATTTAATTCTAGTTCATTATCTAATACAAAAAAATGGGAATAATTACGTAGGTTCCTATAGGTTTACAAACATACCAAAACAAATTAAAATTAAATAAATATTTACATTTAAAAATTCAAATATTTTTATAATTTTTTCTTTAACTCGATTTAAACACTTTCATTAGATATTTTGTTGTTGTTCTATGCTCTTTTTTTTAATCCAAGTTTAACTTGCAATCAGAAAAGACCGGCACTCACCCTTCGTATCGAGCGATCCTTGCTGGCGGAACGTGGTGGACGCACCGGCGGCGGCGACGCTGGCCTTCCGTACCGGTCCATCCATGAACAAGATGCGCGGCCAACAAGCGCACCTGCTGTCCGCACCGTCATCGTCAGTTGACGACAGGACTTCAGCATCTGATGACAATCATCCTAGTTACTAATTAATAAGTATATAAGTAAGTATATATAAATATTATTAGGTTTATTAATGGCTAAAAGTAGAATGGCAGCCTTGTCTGTGTAATCGGTATACGCTAGCAGGGCATCAGTGAGAGATGATAGGTGAGAATGAATGCAGATCAGTTCAGCCGTCATGATGAATTTGATAAAAATCAACCACAATAGTTTCTAGTAGGAACCAAATTTTCCTCTCAGTATTATTATGTTTGTATGTATTGGCGTATTAAAATTGTTTACCTAGCCACTTAAATAAGGCATAGCTGAAAGTTCAACTCACATCCTGGGGTGGGCATGAAAATACGAGCAATAGCCCTTAACCCAAGTTAAATACCAGAATAAAGCCTATGTAATTATAATACCGTATAACTTTTTAACCACTTACCATCAAGTGGGTCGTATGCTTGTTTGCCACCTCAATGGTATAAAAAAAAATTAACAACAGTTATTTTTATTTTTCAACAATACACTAATATTTTTTATAACTTGTACACGAAATGGGCGACATTATCATGGAGAACACGGCATAATCTATTATGTTCATGGTATTTACTGTTCATGTCTATAGGCGACGGTTACCGCTTTCCGTTAGGCGGGCCGTCAGCTTATTTGTCATTCTAAGTTCCATAAAAAAAAACACAAACAAGAAATCCATGTGTTTCGAGGGATACTTTATTTCACTGGCTTATATTTCTCAACGGAAACTGTATAGTCGCAGCCGAGCGTGACTATAAATAACAAACGCCGATATGTCCCAGCCTGCTTCAGGTAAATCCCTTGATAGGTATTGTATCGTAAACAAAAAACTTCTTACTCTCAGTTCGTAAGTATATACTATACTTATTTTTAGCTAGATAAAATAATCCATAAAATAATGTTTTCTTATATATATACCTATAGTTCCCTCTTAGAATTCCCAAAATATGGAAAAAACAAAACCAGTTGTAGAGGAGAAAATACGTATTTTAAATATGAGCATATAAACAAGATAAAGATAATCTTCTTTAATTTTCAAATTAAAATATATGCCAGTTTTTTTCAATATTATCAGAAAACACAAAAAGTATAAAAAAAAATACAGTACAGTTATACGATAAACATCAGCTTTGAATTAGCTTTTTAATTTTTTCGGTTTTAGATATAATTGTTAGCTACTGCTTAGTATTCTATTCAAATAAAATTGTAATTAACTTTAAAAAAAAATTATAATATTGATTTATATGCAAGATCACAGAACAATTTTCAACCTTTAAAATTAATAATATATACACGTAACTCGTGTACAGAAGTATGTACAGACCTATTTGTTTACCTGTAATATACTAATGGCTCCACAGAGTCCGTATGCGAAATTTTATATACCATCTAAAATATATTCGCAAATACTTGAGTTTTATAGCACTCTACTGTCATAAAACTTTTTATAAGCGTCGTAACACAATACGTAAAAAGCAATTGCAACATTAGTAATTGTACCACCAACGTTCACAATAGAATGTACAAATCAAAATTTAATGAGCGTCAATACATTGATTAACTGCTTAATTAATATAATAAATATAAATAAATCATTTGTTAAAAATTAAAGCTACGAGCAGTTTTGATAACTTTCAGGAACACACTCATCGAATTCATCTAGTAATCGCTTAATGAAATGAATATGTTGAGCCATTGAATAGAAAACGAATACGATATGACGAGAGGTAATTTCGACTTTCATACCGAAGTATAATACAATTCCCATATATTTTATTTTACATAGGTTTATAATTGTAATTGTAAATTGTAATTATTTGTATCTATAATAAGTTTACTATTGTTCTTATGTTTGTATCTTTTGGTGGAAACAATAAAAAGTATCCATCTATCTGTATTGTTATATTTATATATTTGTTTTCATAGAAATACTTAACCAAAAACAGGTAGTTTTGCAAACTGTTTTATCCATGTATTCGTATGCGTAAATAAATTAAGGTTATCATAATGTACATTTATTACTCAGTATATGGGAAAATGTACATTGTAAAGTTAAATTGAAAAATAAAAACGATACAAAATTCTTATGAATTTAATTTATAACCAATTCGTGTACTAAATTTCAAAAGACAGCCTTATCGTTAAGCAATCTCTTCCAGACAATCTTTAAGTAGAGTACACTGAGAAAAAGACAAAGGGATGGTGACGCACTATTATATAGAGACTAATATATACAAACATATATAAAGTAAATTTATTGTATTAATTCAATTTCACTGAATTTATTTTACGAGTATTAATTACCATTAAAAAATAAGTAAAACATTGTTTAATATATAGATTGGAAAATTCTAATTAGCTAATGTATGGTATAAAAATATTTCAATTATTTTAGATACGAGAATAAGCTGTTAATTACAAATTTAACAATAAATATAATAAATATAAAATAAACGAGATCAGAAGCTTTTATCTCAGTGTCTTTCCAAATTAATAGTTCGTGTAAAATTTTACCTATAGAATACAAAAACCAGGCTTTAAAAACTTAACTTTGTATATTTATTTTTTTATTATAGCTCGATATGTGGCCACACCAAGCGAATACAGAAACAATATGATCCATGAATACGATCAACCGAATGAATTACTTACTCTCAACGGTTGACCGCACTATGACGGCTTAATAAGTGTCTTTCCACGCTACGTTAGAAGGATCTGAGGTTATAGGATGAAGGGAATACATCTCGAGAAAAACCATTCGACATTGTACATCGATATGGTACAGTTCACGTAAGAGTTAAAACTTATTTGTACGCAAGCTCGGGCGGTCAACCGCGTATGGATGTAATCACTTGCCCATCATTGTGGTGTGCTATCGGAAAGGAGGAGGTGGAATATGGTAATGGAATGCTTCTGTGCACTTGCTGTAAAATAGGGGTGGTAGAAAATAAAGCAAGGAAAGCTACATCTCTGCGTAATGATAGAGGTTCTAGTGTTTTGCTTCAAAACTCAGAGATTTTTGGATCATTATCATTTCAGCCATTATCCGTCTACTACTGGGCATAAGCCTTCACCATAGACTGTCATAAAGAACGGTCCTGAGCCACCTGCATCCACTAACTCCCTGCAATGCACTTCAGGTCGTCATTCCATCCAGTGGGAGGAGGGTCGTCCTACACTGCGTTTGCCCGTACGCGGTCGCCACTTAAGAACCTTTCTTCCCCATCGGTTGTCGGTTCTTCGAGCTATGTGACCAACCCATTGCCACTTTAGCTTGCTAAACCTTCGGGTTTCAGCCTTACTTTCGATATATTCCCTGTAGTTAAGATTGGGACGCAGAGATAGTTTCAGTAAATCGAGCTTATCTCGTATTTCTAGAGGAGTGCCACAGAATAAAAGAGATGGAGAAAAGGGGGATTTTTTATGAACAACACGTATACTTGCGTCCTGTTAGTATTAAACACGACGAGATTACTACCGCCTTAAACAGGAGCCCCACGCAGTGTTTCATTAATTTCACCAAACAGCGCATCTCGTAATATTATAAGATTATATGTACATTATAAGAGTATAGATTTAATTTTGAGACAACTGATTACTTCTTTATTCCAAAACTCCTTTCTTTCAGTTAGCGTTGTTTACGTTTTCCTTGTTCATTTATATTGGCCTTAACTAAATGTCCGCAAAAAGCTTCGGTGAATGTCAAAGTGGCATCGTAAATCAAGCGATATCGCGGTGCACGGAAGGAAAAAAGCTCGAACGAACGTCTGCAAAAATAGCGCTATTCACCTGACAAGCTCACTCGATTACCAAAACTTAATATTACTATATTAATAGAATGTTTGCGATGTATTTTCATATATATTAACTTTATTTTGGGACTACTATTTTTACTACTTGACGTTATGTGTATTAAAAAGGTTATGTATGTACATCTTATAAACTTTAATGTAACAGGATACATCATCTTATCCATTACTTCAAATTTATTTTAATATATTTATCAATCAATAAATTACGTTTACTTATCGTATTATAATAATAAAAGTTTCTTTATATATGCGGAACGAACTTATATTACAGTCAACAAAATAAAAAATATTTGACAAAGAAAAGGCGTTGTATATGATTGATTCTTTATACCAGTTCTTTGTACTATCTATTATTATTGGTATCGACTTATATTATAGGTACATATGTAAATATATCGAAATGTATATATATGCCTTTGCTATAAGTATTTCAGTAGTTGTATGTATTTATTTTAACAATGTGAGTTAATACTTGTAAAGTACTCGTATACCGGACGACCCGTTTTTTCATTTTTGAATAATTTGATTAATTTAATTGTATATAATTTTATACAACGATATTTATGAAAAGTTTGTAGAGTTTAAAATTATAAATTCAAATGTTATGGAAATAAGTTTATTTAAAGATTCAATGAAAAGGGTTTCACAAATCTTCATTTTATAGAGTACATAGCTTTTATTAACGTTTCTGTTAGTTTGAAATTTACATAAAGAAAACTAACACATACCTATATGTAATGAAGTAGCCATATCTAAGTTTGTTTATTAGAAAGAATGGCACGTAAATATGCATTATTTCATCGCAAACAAAAACAAACGTGACTGTCCTCTCAACGAGATATTGTGCGAAAAGAAAATATAACATAGACCGAGCTAATCCAAACTTTATGTTAGTCCTTGTGAAAAAATATGAGGAAAGAAAGTTTGTTTTTATCTATATTCTTACGACCTATTTGTGGAAAATGTCACGCTAAATCTATACCTGCTTGTAATAAAATTGTTCTGGCCTCTGTACGTAGAAAATATCAAAAGAGAATAAGATTAGAGTTACTGTGTGGCGATAACATAAGAATACAATGTGTTGCCATTACTTTTCATTCTCGGAATGCCACAGGAGGAGACTAGTATAATTCGTCGTAAAAAAATTCTGTACAGAATACAAAACACTAAGTCACGATACTCAGTAATTACTAATGTACCTTTACATTAAATCAATGCATGAAATCCCGAAATGACGTGTATGCCATTATCCCCCTCTTGAAATAACCTTCTCGGACCCATCTACTTATACTAAATAGAACAAATAGCTAATGGAATATGTTTTGTAAAATAAATTATATTTATGTAGCTAATATAATTATGTATAACATAATACGTATTTTTCGTACAACAATATTCCATTTTAATCATAGTGAACGGCAAGTGCTCCACCGACAAAAGTGCAACTCTTCAGTACGAAATGAAAAAAAATATTTCATGACATAATAGCAATGTTGTGGAAATAACTATATATAAAGTCCGATTTCCACCAAGTGTAGTGACTAAATTGAATTTGGTTACTTCATCTAGTGGGAAGCAAAGATTAGGTTGGACATAGATATTTAATATCGAAATAGGAGGCAGACCTAAGAATATAGTAATTGTAGTATAAATGGACGATGACTATTTAAATGTGAAGAACAAAAACTTGATATTAACTCAAGTAGTCGTAATAATAATAAGTATTACTTTTTTAGATCACATTCAATAGGTTGCATCACCTGCGCCAAAAAGATGTTGATAACCTTTGAGCCAATAAAAAATATGGCCCAAAACAACGCACTATCGGCTAATGTTACTCTGTCACGAAATAATTACAGTAGTAGTAACATATGAATTAATATGCTGAATATGGAAAACTACAATACAGGATGTGATGTTATCTGTTAAAATATTTATATATAACATGTATGACATTTAAAATATCTTATATGCCATATTATATTTTCTGTGCTGAGCGCTGCCAAAGAAGAATTATTACTACTACAACGACTTTTGTAAGCAATTTTATTTTATTTTTATTTTCTTCGAATCGCCATCATCATCATCATGTCAGCCTTTAACTGTCCACTGCTGAATATAAGACTCCCTCTTAGGGGGTTTTGCCAGTAGATGCCACACTTGGCAGGCAGATTGGCAACTGCAGAGGTAAAACATATCTGATGATTGTCATCAGAGAGACGCTATTACCCATCCCTTGCCCTTCTTTAGTTGGCTCTTACGACACCCACGGGATAGGAAGGGATGACCTATTCTATATTGGAACCACACGGCTGGGCTTCAAATATCAAATAATAAAAGTATTCGTATGAATCTAAAAACCGTCTACATGCTTTTTCATATATCTACTGATTATACTATTATCTCTCTACAATTAGTCATAAATCAAAAAGTACGAATAGAATTAAAAGAAATTGGAGATTTTTATGGAGAAAATAAAACGATCCAAAACGCAAGTATCCTGCCAAACAAGAGAGAATTATATTTGTCTAGAACAGTTAGGAAATGAGTCTATTTTTCGCCACCAAAGAATAACAATATTTTTGTTTGTGAAGATTTCCCAGGAAATTATAGTTTTATAGTATATAACACTATAGTTTGCAGGAATGGTAATGTAATAATAAGGTATGGGCCATTATAATGTACTATATTATAATATATTACAGATAACAGCTTTCCGAAACTAGCTGAAAAAACAAGACTATTTGAATAAAAATTATTTAGCCATCTGTAATTTATGATTTTAGCTTCGAATTAGCATAATTATGATAATCATTATTGTGTTCAGGTATATTGAATGTGTTAGTCGAAGCTATTCAACTAGTTTTCAAATATAAATTATGTTATGTTATATAATGTTATGTTATGAAAATATAAATTATGAGGATAATGTTTCGAGATAAAAATAATATATTTACCAGTTATTTGTACGAGATACCGCTATAGCTAGTAAACCATAAATAAAATTTCGAGGATAATGTTTGATATAAATATTATTTTATAAAATACACGATCACGATGAATAAACGATATATGATTTACGAAAACAACACATTAGTCACTTTTGTCTCCCATTGGGATAGGCAGAAACAATAAAACGCCAATTGCTTGGATTCAATTTGGCGTTCCATTTAATAAGAGTATATGAGTTTAATACATTTGTTGATTTCAAAGATGAATAAAAAATTTAAGCGTGAAAATTAAAAAATAACAGTAATCGGCGATAAAACGCTGTGTAGGAGTCAGTTTATCGTACTTTGGCAGTGTCAAAGTGATTTGGCCCAGTCCCCGGACAATCTGCCAGATGCAACAGGTAAGCATTTCGGTGAACCAAGTCATCATTCATATTGGGTATAACTTTGAAATATTTTATTGTAACGCTTAAAATTATACTAAAATTTCAAGAATAATAATAATTATTATTGTCAATCCTTCAATATTAATTTTATATACAAAATTACAGATTATAAACTAAGAGAAATCAAATTCATCTTTCAAGGGCGGGTCTTATTAGTAGCACTAAACATTTTTTTCCAAAAACGTTATATGCCCAACTACATATTATGTTAATTTGTTAAGACTATACTTTTTAATTGTTTTCTGACCCACGTTTCTTTGGGAATTTTTTTTGGTAATAGAACATTCTCTTAAAAGTATATCTATAATTTTAACTTCACCCTTGGCGATATTACTAGATATCTATGATAAAAGCATCGTCCTAGTAGAATTAGTAAAGATCGAATATCATTAATAGCATGCGCATACGTCAGATTATATACATGCACTGAATGTTTATCTGATACGAAACTATGTAAAAAAGTTCATACAAATTATAAAAAAAAAATTCCCTATCCCTAAGAGCATTGATTTGACCCTGACTCAAGACATTTGAATTACAGCTTTACCCATTTTATCTATTATAATAAAGCCATTTTTATACAACGAGGATGTCATTCAGCACATGGCCCATTTAACGGTAAATAGTCTATGTAAATAATCTTAGTGATATTGTTGGCATATCTGTGGCCCATGTAACATGCCACATTACAATTTGGAGTTACAGTACCTAGTAGTAATTTATTTATTACTATCTCACCTTCCCAATAGAGCACATAGTAGGCGACTTGACAGCATGTAAGCAAACTGCTTGAAGGCAAAGTTGCCTATGACACAGATAAGTACGACACAGTCTTCATTTTGTATCCTCTCAACATACTATTCAAAACTCCTAGTCAATTTGTAAACAAACATGTAGATACTACGTCGTACGCTCAAATTGAATAATGTTGTAAAATTTACAATGATTAATGTGTGTAAAAATAAATTACCTTCAACGCATCCTCGTGTGAAATCCCTGAAAAGGGCGTCCCATTGACCTGAAGTATGGAATCTCCGGGGCGCAGCCCTGCGCGCTCCGCCACCGAGCCCTCCTCCACTCTCGATATATACACGCCGACACCTGTTCACGATATTACTAGGTACAAATTACTGGTGAAATAAATGTTTACATTCAAAATTCAAATCATCTTTATTCAAATAGACTTATTTACAAGCACTTTGAAATCATTTTTTTAAATTTACTGCAGGATTCAGAATGTTGTTATCTGTAGCTAACATATGGATAGGTAATAGGTATTCTTCTAAATGCTACAAATATTTTTTTATATAAATCACCTCACCTAATCGGCTCACCTGATGGTAAGTGACTACCGCCGCCCATGGTCACCCACAACACCTACGGCATTGCAGGTGTGCTGCCGGCCTTATGTTTAATTTTTAATAATATCTATATATACGAGTAAAAATATCATAGAAAATAACAGTTTTTAGTAGATTTTCTAATTAGAAGCCGTGTGAAGCAGGGACCGTTCGCTTAAATAATAGATAAATCCGAAATATCAATAATTTATTAATTTATTCGAAAGATGGCTGTGCTAGCTTGCCTAGGAATAGATATAATATATTGGTTATTATAAAACAAATATTGTCTATATTATAAATCAATGACACACTAGCGGCCCGTCCCGGCGTCGCACGGGTGGACATTTTTACATTTTAAAAAGTGGCCTTTAGGGCTGCACACGCGACGGAAGCTTAAAAATGGAGTAACTTCTCCCGTTTTCCCAATATTTCCCTTCACTGCTCTGCTCCTATTGATCGTAGCGTGATGAAAAGTATACTATAACCCGCCCAGGAGTATAAAGAATAATTGTACCAAGTTTCGTTAAAACCCGTCAAGTAGTTTTTATTTCTATAACGAACATATAGACAGAAACAAAAATTTTACTGTTTGCATTTTTGGCATCAGTATCGATCACTAATCACCCCCTGATAGTTATTTTGGAAATATATTTCATGTACAAAATTGAACTCTCTACAGATTTATTATAAGTATAGATGAGACAACACACCAACAATTCATACAAATGATAATAATTTCTATATTAAAATTTGGCTGTATGCTTCGTCTGAAAATAGTGAACATACCTATTTAATTAAAAGTACTCTAAATGACATTCCCTGGAAGAAGTTTTAAATGATACGGAAAATATATTTTTATATACCTCACGGTGGAAGATTTTATTATTTTAATATTCAGCGGAAGCGCCTAAATAACAATATACAATATATTATTATTTAGGTATCCAATGAATTTACAATTTTAGATTTATTTACACAATTTCTATGAATTGTTTATATACAGACTTGGTAATTTTTATTATCTACGTAAGTAGGAATAGTAAGAAGTATACATATAATTACACATACTTATAATTACAATACTAAATGAAATACAAATATGAAAGAAATGTTTTCAATTTATAAAGACCCCTTTCGATCAAAAGCAGTTCACAATTGACGAAGACGTCATGTAAAAGTATTCTTTTCGACGTCCGTAGACAAAACGAAAACGAACATAACATAGCGTACTTTACCAAACAAAAGCGTCATAAGGGAAGTGTTTGAGCGTACCACCAGGCTCACCTGCCTCCTTGCCACCTTTCACGCAGATGCCGAACCCGTGCGAGTCGGCTGGGTCACGGCTCATGGTGACAGTCCGCGTAGCAGGCTCCGCCGGCGGCGGCGGCGCGCCCCCCGACGAGTATGGCCGCTCACGGTCACGCTCGGCGCCACCGCGATATATCGCCTGGTCACATGGAAACTTTCATCTGTTATACCCAATTTAGGTGGGAGGTTGGGGAAAGGAATTGTTAGTAACACTAGTCTCCATTGCTAGCAATATACCCTGTCAAGTCGACTTCCACGCAGTCCCTTTTGGAAAAAGACATAGTTAATTCGTCACGATAATTTACCTGACTTCATTTTCACCTATCATAACTCAATAGTACCCCCCACCCCTCCAGCATATACCCATAGTACAGACTGGGTCACCATTCTATTATCATCCACTAAATGAAACCAATTCAGGTACCAAAAACTCGCAAATTGAAGAAGAATATTTATTATAAAAGATCTCAGTTTAAAAAAATACGTGGCGATAATATATGTAAAATTTTTTAAAGGGAAGAATTTAGCCTTTTTCGTCCTTCTTATGTTACTTAGTCGGTTGTCAATTGCATTATTGTTGGTCTCGATGATAATAATATACTATTTACATTTCAGCGTAATATTTACCAGCTCCTACAGATGAGTGGCAAACAAATCGATCGGTTGATATTTACCGCACATATAAGAAAGGATAAGGCGTTTGATTTAGTCGTCACATTCTGTCTCATGTATACGGTAGTGAAAAGTGAATCTATCGGTAAATTCGTTTATTTGTTTAGTGGGTGAGGTAGGTAGCTATTACAGTAATTATGAGAATAGAAACAAATGCCGCGACTTTTTCACTGAACTCCACCTATGAGTATATTTTCTATGACACACAAAAAACTCTTTATTAAATTTCTACGTCTCGTGTAGAACCTGTGTGAGGCCGATCAGAAAATTTCTTTTTATTTTAAGAACAAGATAAGTTACTTATAAATCGGACGATTAATCAGTCTTCGTCGTAAACAACCTATAAATATTCAGGCACGTTCCATTAGTAAATACTTGGATATACTCTTTTAGAAAAAAGCAATTTAAATACCGTGAACTTTGTTAAGAATTGTTTTCCTCAATATTACCCTCAACGAGTCGTTCATAAGCAATAAAACTCGAGCCCCTCCATTGCACAAACAATGTTACTTGAGGCGAACGTTTAGCATCTCAAAGGCAATACAAGTCGCTCGCTCCTACAGCCTCGAGCCACCGAGGTCTGATAGCAGCGAGCGACCGAAACCCTTGATATTTATTACGGATCCATCTTTCGAACCGCTATCAGATTATAGACGGATACATAACAGATGGCTGTATCTATATGTATATACTGTAGGTATATACTACATTGAATACGGTGTGTAAATTAGGGTCACATTCTCGAAGGGAGATATCGAAGGGGAACATCTAAAAAAGATACTTTCAATGTGTTGACATAAAAAATGAAATATGTTACATAAGTTAGTGTTATCATAGAAAAGTATACACTACTTTCTACTTTTTGCATAATAATAACACACAATGAGGTCATACAAGAAATATTTTTATAATACTTGAACTCCACGACAACTAATCGAATCATGCAACGGACATCAGACCCCAGCCAATTTAGTAAAGACGTTTGTAAATTAACTGAACCGAAAATAAATAGTATCTTCATTTACGTAAATAAACACGCCTTAGGCATGTTCCTTTTACGTTATAATAGGATAGCATTAAATAAAATTATGTACGAGATATGATCTGTGATGACATTTGATTAAACTATTTTTGTAGATTTATTGAAAAAAAAATTGAATGCAAATGATATGACAATTGTATTGTATAGAAATTCATATGTATTTACTCGTATTCCGTTGCTGCTTGTTGTGAATTCAACAGCTGTCCCGGCTCTCGTAGCTAACATAAGACGAGAGAACATCGTACATAGTATCTAATACCATTCCTCTCTCGAGTTCCCACGGGACGTAATACTAAACCTCACTAACAAACTAATGTTTTATCCTCATACGGACTGTAGCTCAAAAAGTACCATCGTCAAACATTGTGAGATTAGAGATTAAATAAATAAGAAATAAGAGACGTTCTAAGATATTAACAATATTTAATTCTTCATTGAAAACATTTACAAAAAAAAATTAAAAACCGAGTTTGATAAGATTTCTATGGGACCATCCAGTAAATTCTTACAGATAAAAAATAAATTTTTCAAATCGGTTTAGAACTGACGTTCTAAACCGATTCGAAAAATTTATTTTTAAGGTAACATAAATAAAAAAAATACAGCGGAATAGAGAACCTCCTTCTTTTTGAAGCCGGTTGAAATTAAATCAAATAATCAAGACCAAACACAACCTACAGGTAACAGTCATCCCCGAGTATCATAAGATAAACCTATCATAATTGATTTACGAGTAAATCATATTTTGATTGAAGAGGAGATCTACGGTCCGAATCACCACGTCTTTATCAGTCTGGAAATCAGTCAGCGTGTCCTTGACTACAACAAATAAAAATTGTGTAAATTGACTTAATAAATGTCAATTATTTACTTATAGAAATAAAAATATCTGAGAAATAACTTAGCATAGCTCACGTGGGATTTCAGTTTATTAGATTCCTATTCCGATTACAGATGTATCAGGTTTGTAAGTTTGCTACGGACCAGAGGTAAATTCAACAAGTGAGCTCGGAATAATCACCCGCGGAGTATTCCCCGTTGGCTAAACTGACAACCTACAGAGAACTTTGCAAAATTCCGCAAACTGATTAACTACTTCCTTCGCACGTCAGTAACTGTCGAAAGAAAAAGTGAGCAGAAATCGATCACGGATTTGGCATTTAGGTTTACTTAGGTATTAACTAGTTCTGAATATTCTAGTACAAAGAAAATAGCGACTACTTTGTGTAAATGAAAGCGAATTATTGAATATAAGGTTGTGTACGTTGGAAAGACAATACAATGAATTTTTCCATGAATATTCGCTAGAGTTGCTAAGAATGGGTAACGGAGGCAACGGACGAAATGGAGCAATGGCAATGTCTCCGCCTATTTATCATGTTATCATGAGATAAGTATTACATAAATAGATTTTAATTAAAATGTTAAAACTTCACACATATCTCGTATATGTTTCAACAAATGTCTTGGTCAAACAAATCACTCTATTGTATGTCTGTAATGTCATAGAACGTAGTGAACAAATACTCTAAATGTTCGTAATAATAAAATAAACACAGTCATTCATAAATTATAAAATATTTTGAATAATCATGTGAATAAAGCAGGGTACAGCTAGGCACTCTATCTATTTATAGCTACTTTATAACTGTAGAGTCAATATTGGGATAATACTTTTTATTATTTGTTTTAACTTATTGATACATTCATATATATCAGTAATTACGAGTTTATTGTGCGTAACAGATATTTTCTTCCAATAAAATTTTACAATTATATATATTATATTTCTATAGCGACTTTTTATATAAATCGGTGAGGTGTGCAAAATATGCGCAAATAAAATGGCAGTCGAAGATTGATAGCTAATATGGAGGAAGGTTGTGGAACTTCTGATAGTAAAAGTGGTGGTCAGTCTATGAGTATTGGCAATCACATATCTACTAAGAGTGGCAGAATTTAATTCTAATCAAATAACTAGTGACAAGCGAGGATATAAACAGGTCACTTGCATTATTGTGACGAATTCAATAATATTAACAATGACAGTTTCTAGGTGGAATCGCAAACAGGTCGACCTGATAAGATATAGGGCTAGCAACAGAGTCGCTAGATCTCATTACTTATAATTCCTTCCACTCTATATTTCTATAATAAACCAAAATTTATTGTTTTTGTCTTCATATATAACTACTTCATATATAACTTCATAAATAACTGACTGATCTAATCAACACTCGGCCTTGACCATTGGAGTTAGAAACTTGAAATTTTTATATACTTAGATAAGCATATACTGACATAGTATTCAAATACATTGTATGTTTAATAATATATGAAATCTAAATACATATAGTATATAAGATTTTTTTTTGTAATGAAACATCACTTAGAAAACACTTTTCGATATTTCCACTGAAAGAGGAGATAACAGAATGCGCGCTGGCAAAACTAGAGCAACCTTATAAATAAAAGCTTATAATAAAGTTATAATAGTACAGAAAGAATTCTGTTAGAAGGAGAGTATTAAAAATAGTATGTACCTCATGATTCGCAGCGGAATCCAATTTGGAAACGATATTAAAAAAACTCCGTCACTAAATACTTCAATACATGAGCACATCACGCACTTTTCCGCTCTTAGGCTCTCTTCGAAACACTTTTCATATTACAAAGATGTACAAATCCCATATTTTTTTAAAGTACATCTCTAATCGTTAGTACTATCCTTAAAATAACAAATATAATACATAGAAACAAGAACTGGATAAAAGAAGAATTTGTTTTAATATTGTTTTATATGACGCTAGATAATAAATTGAATATATTCAAAATTATTTTTTAATGTATGTATCCTTTAAATTATTACAGGCTTATGTTTTAATGTAACAAAAATGATATATAAATAACATTATCAGTTTTAAAAAATTTATTCCTAATACGCGGTACATCGTACAATTTCATGGCTTCAACTGACGGCGAGGATGATGTCCCAAACGACGTTGGCCATGGCCTATTATACCTGGCATGGACACGCCCGGCAATGTTTCATTAATTACCACTAAGCTAGCATATCGTAGATAATCTTATCAAATAGACAATCTAAACTCTATTTATAATTTATGGTAAGGTTTTGGAAATAAAATATCATATATCATCTCAGTTAATTAAAAAAAAATTACGAGGTAGTTAATTTATAAAATTATCCTAACAAATATATTATCAGAAACAAAATTTTTGCTACAATTATTAGTTAGATTCAATTTGCATTGTTTTTTTTTCTATAAAATAAAAAGCCAATTAGGTATGTATACTTTTGTCGTTAATGAACCAACTCACATTAGATTACCTACATATGAGCCTACATAAATTTTTAACATGAAGTAATTACTAAACACCAGCAGATAGGTATTAATTTGCGAAGCAATCAGGCTCAACAAAAAATGGATAAACCTTTTTTGAATGAATAATATGCGGAATATTGTTCAAACTGCTCTGGTCATATCCACGTTGTTACTAACTAAACGCCCGCCGCGGCGGTCATGAATAAAGTAGTGGTATCGACTGCGGTGGCCGGTGGCCTCACCCATAGAATTATTTACACGTTGACACCCCCCCCCCCCCTCCAGGCCGGCAACACACGCCGCGCTATTTTAAGAAGCATAGTTCATTTAGGTGTCATCCTTGACGCCATTTTGATATCGATCTACATATATGATTAATACAGACCATAAATGCAGTCGCTACCTTACTTCATTTCTTTAAGGGCTTTTACTTTTCTTAGGTAATATTAGCCCTTGATAGTATAAATCATTTGACTATAAAAATACTTTGCTATTTCTTAAAACTCTATAACCGAGTTCTAAAGTTTTAACTGCCTGGCCCAAGCGTCGCTTTAAGTTAAAGTGATTAAAGTTATCTACTCGTAAAACAATTTGCATTATTATATTAACTAAAAGTTTCTTTATTGTCTTTTTTTATGGGTATATGCAAGTATCTAGACAAGCTGTCTAGATACTAAAATATACGTACTCTTGTGTCGTCATAGTAATAGTTAAATATGTATACATGTGCTCACATGGTGCGTGGTGCTGCTCGGACTACTGGCAGGCGAATGTCTCCTGGCGGGGAGGGGCGCTGGTAATGGCGCTGGGGGATGTGATGGCGGCAGTGCCTTCCCCAGTGCCGCGGCACCGCCCTGTCCAAACAACCGCAGCACTTGTTCTGGAGATATCGGACGTTTCTTGCCATTCGCCGCACTCAAATGATTCGTGCTATTTCGCAAGCTAGACGCTCCTGCTGTAAAATAAAATTTATTTCTAATTTCGAATTCTTATGTAGTTTGCTACTATTATTATAGTTTTACAGCAAATATTATTTGAAAAAGTATTACGTGCAGTGCAGCATCAATAATTTATTTTATTTCTAAGATTTTGTTTTGAAAATATTCCAAATAAGCACTATAAAATAAATAATTTAATGCCTAAAATAGTACTAGTTTTAGTACTCGACTATTTACACCTAACCAAGGAGTTGTCAAACCTAATATAAAATAGCCCATGACCATGTGATTGTAGACTATGTTACTGACACCGAGAAGTAACAAACAAACTTACTTTCACATTTATAATATCAGTCAACATATATGGATATAAAGTCCCAATCCTTAGAAGAATGAATGTATGTATAATGCCATGAGCTTTACAATGACAATAACCTTAAGCCTATAGATGATTATCGTAATTTCCAGTCTGGTCAATCGCCATTTGTAATGGTGTAAAAAAATACTATATTATATAGACTGCACTTAGCATACTTTGAATAAGTAACTTAGTCTATCGCATTTACAGACAATTTGTGTTATCGATAGTAGCAAATGCGGTAAACAAATTATGAAGTTAAAGTGAACATAGACGTGAAGTGACACTTGGCTAGGAGGAAGTATAGACGATGAACCAAAACACCATTCTGTTACGAATGGTGTCCAAGAGAGCGACAGAGGACCGCCGGTAGATCACCGACACGATGATCGAATTACATAGTGCAGATAGCGAGGAAGCAGTGGATCGCACAGGATTGTTACAAGCGGCGCGACAAAAAGTTGGCTTATGCCGAGCAATGGGTAAATGTAGGCTGAATAGATTAATAGATAAATAGTAACAAAATAGCAATCAATACAGATACATTTCAAGACGCCAAACAACCTTAACAATTCCTTCTTTTCTTTGAGGTCGTTACCTGCGCTGTTGGCAATAGTGGTAGATCCAAGGTAAGGCGTCCGCGAAAGCTTGCCAGAGTAGTGATGTTGTGAGTATGGGGCGTGGTGGCCGTGTGAAGAGGCTGGCCTCTCCACGATGGTGTATGAAGTGCCCGGCGGGGAGTAATAGACGCCACCTCGCGTCCGAGCTCGTGCGTCCTCTGCCTCGTAGCTAGTGTGCCTACTGTCCTGTAACCACTAAACATAGCGATATAATTGCTTTAACCTCTACTTTTTGGTAAAAGAGCTTGTTAAAAATGATGTTAAATAGGCCCATTCCATGCGTTTTCTCCTTTGTAGTTAATTTTTAGTTTAATTCGTCAGGATAAGCTAACTGACCTGCTTTCATCCTCACATGTTATTCTTCACTGGTGTCTATAGCGGAAATAGGGTTACCATTCCATTTTCACCTATTAAAAATATATTAGGTCAAAAAAATAAAAACATAATTAAAACTTAAACTAAGTCATTGTGTTAGTATAGTGATAGTAGTTAATATGTACATCTGTGTCAAATAGGACATTTTAATAATACTCCTATTAAGTGACTAAAAAGCTGTGACTCACTTAATGAAAAGTACTAACCATTGGATGGATATAGAAAGAATATACTATGATACCCACCATATCTCTTGTGGCGTTTTTTATACCACAAAGGTGGCAAACAAGCATACAGTCAGTCTGATGGTAAAAGGTCACTGTAGCCTATGAACGTCTGTAATACTAGGGGTGTCACGTGCGCGTTGCCAACCCTGAAGAAACCTTAATATACCCTTTTTGAAGGACCCCAAACTGTAGTCTCTAGGGAAAACCTTGGCAGGGAGTTCATTCCACAACCTGAGCGTTCTTGGAAAAAATTTCTTTGGAACGGCACTGTACGTGACCATTTAGGTTCAAACGTGTAGTAGGATAAATTCCCTGTCGATGACGAGCGGTGTGATTAAAAGTGGTTGTAGGTATTATGATTTTATGCCTCTGTATCCTGTAATTTCACTGCTATTCCCTTTAAACTAAAAAAAAAAAACATGCAAGTATAGCTGCTTTACGACATAAACATAGGTAGAATAAAGGTGTCCATGTAGAAAATAGTCTTCTTCTATATCTATTACATACAAAGTCTTCCTTTGGTAAACATTAGTGGGTTATTATGGTGAAAATCGTATAACCTGCTGCGAGCGTGAGTGGCGCGCGAGATGATGCGCCGGCGGGTGCTGCGGTGTGGCGGAGCGCCAGCCATAGCCCTGGGTATAGGGCGGTGGCCAGCGCGCGCCAAACTCCGCCAGTTCTGAGCCCTCGCCCGCCTCCCCCGACCTCATGCCGGGGGTCACCGGTCACCCTGGTGGCAAACGCATCTTTTAATTTTTTGCAGGGAGAAAAAAAAACCTCGTTATGTTGTCAATTTTTATTTTCAGATCCTTTCAAATTTACTAATAATACCCATTATTAATGCAAATTTTTGCAAAAAGTACACATGATATATGCAAAAATTACAAAAATCTATACAATTAAGTGTATTATTTGTATTCAGTAATGTAACAAATTAGATGAGTATATTGCAGAACATACACGTATATATATAATCTAAGTCTATCTCAGATGAATTTTTTGGTTTTTTAATTAGTAATGTCTGGTATCACGATAAGTATATAGCTCGACTTGTTACTTATTACACCGATACCATTAATTTTCGGCCAATTTGTAGTACATATATCGTAATAATAAGAAAACTTTATTGTACTCATTTAAAATTTAGATTCTACTCAATTTTTTAAATTTAATACCTATATCTTCGCAAATTTGTAGTATTATACTAATTCAATTGTCTTGCTAGTGGATCTCTCAAAGATAAACAGTCTGCTTGTGTATTTACAATAACAGAAATAGTAATGCGTACAAGTATTTTTCCAGATAAGATCTAAGAAAGCTTTTTGGCGTTTGGTAAACATAAATGTTATTTTAGTATGAAATGAAGATAAGTCAAATATGTATTATTTTGATTGAAAGGGAAAAAAGATTTAATATATATTTAAGTTAAATGGTTGCAAGCTAGATACTTTGGGCAGATATTTTGGGCAGTTATTTTATCGGCTGGCCAGCCGAAAACTACATGATAATTAATAACATTTAATGATTATAATTTATAATAAGTATAGGAAGACTATAGCCATGTAGGTCCCGGCATATAAATAAACCACCCTTTCTTTTCTCCTGACGCCCTTTCGTAAGAGGCGACAATGGGAGCTTATTGTGGAGAAATGGGCAGCAGCGTCCCTCTTGTCCCTCTCGTCAACCCGCCTGCCAAGCATGGCAACTACTGGCAAATCCCCCCTTATGAGGGAGGAAGGGACTATTTCCAACAGTGAACAGTTAACGGTTGATACACAAACAACATAGGAAGACTTATTTAAGAAGAAACAAATATGATACAAATTGTAATGTTTTCTTATGTCTATATATGAATACAAACACAACAGAATTTTAACGAACTTACTGTGTAATCGAGTAAGTACTTAAAAAATGTCTCCTAAATAAACATAAATTTTAAAAATAATAATGTCTAATTATTTACATAACTAGATTACGGCCATTTGTTTTTAAGCAAATTTTTGACGGCAGAAAGGTAAATTTGTGTGAAAAGTTGTTTACACAACTTCAGTCATTCATAAACTTATATAGACCAAAACGTATGTTGGCATATGTAAATTTATAAGGCTATATATATATTTATAAATTAATAATTATTAACTGAATTTTCGGTCACTAAAAATGTTTACAGTAAATAGTAGTTCAATGTAAATAGTATCATAATTGTTAATCTGATAAATCAAACCAAGCTACAGTAATTTCTCCCAGTTTATTTTTTCGACTAAACATAAATTGTAATAAATTAATAATAGCCGAAAATTAAGATATAAAAATTAGTTTTAAAAAATATACGAAAAAAATCATATGGAATAAAAATAAAGATGAGGAAGAAAACTTTTTACCAGAGGGAGACTTTGAACAAAAGTCGATTGCTTGGGTACCTCTGTCCCATTCATGTTTCTATCGTGAAGCAGTTGTGTTTGCAAAAAGATATAAATGAAAAAAATGTACAGAGGAAAAAAATCAGGAATATGGAATAAAAATAGAGATGGTACTGGTCTATAGGCGAGATAACATTCTAAGTTGTATAAAAAAAAAACGTCGAAGTGAGATTATTAGTTTTCATTCAATAATAAAATCTATGTAAACGTAAAAAAAGGTATTTTTTAAATTATAAAGTAAATAAAGTAGCCGAAATCTAGTTAAATTAGTAGATGGAAACTGAAACCAGAAATGGCTTAAATAACGATTGTCAAACATTTTGTTATAATTTTAATATAACATTGATATTAAAGGGACTTAATATTTCAAAACTACATTATACAAGTATTAGAAGTTAGAAAATATATAAAATAATGACCGGTGAGTAAACAATCACTAAAAATATATCTCTAAATTCATATATTAACTTAAATGGCAGTAAACAAAGTAAACTACCCTATTTAGTTGAGTGATGTATTTATTTTTATCTCTTGTCTCTTTAACAGCTAAAATATAGATTTATATCGTCACAAAACAATAATTTGTAACTATTGATTAAGAAAAACCAATCGACATAAAATAACCTAGTCTCGGTTAAACAGAAAAAAGTGACGGTTGCGTAATAATTCGCTATTTACCGCCCTCGAGGAACTGAGCAATTCGTGATGGGAAGCCGTAACATCTGGGAGCGGTCCAATTTATAGATCGGCTTAACTACCAATGAATGCGAACGATCCGTCTTATTATTGTATTTACTAGATGTATATTTTATAATCCATATGTACAAGAAAATAAAACCGTATACTAAACCGAATCGAAACCCATGTAATGGGATATTAGATTATTAAAATAAATAGTATAATAATATATAAAGCATATATATATATATATATATATATATATATATATATATATATACTCAGGCACTCATCACACAAATCTGTGTCATAATTACGTTATAATATGTGTCACAGACACACGTGAGTCACAGAGCAAGTCTACGCTACGTCATTTAAGAAACGACATTGCTTTTATATTGACAGAATTGGAAAAAGAATCTATGCAACAATCTAGAAGTATAAAATAATAAAATAAATGAATATTCATAGTGTTGTACAACTATTTGTAATATGCCTCTATCCAATTTTTTTGTATCAATTTAGACCACAAAAGACATAGCTACTTTATAGAGTACACAATTTTCAAATTCAAAGAACTCATTGAAAAGATTTAATAAAAAAAATTTAGTGCGAAGTGATGTAGCCCTGATATGACTGGCATTACAGCGGGAAAAAATTTTTTTTTAATATAATATTAGTCTTAATAAGCAACGGCGTCCCCTTTATTCTTCCATAAGGAAAATTTTTATTAACAGAATGCAGAATCATTCGATCGATTGTATAATTGTGTTTGAATTAATTTTTAAGTAAATTAGCATCTTTTGGGCGTTAAATATGAAATTGAGATTTATTTTTTAATACAGACCTTCATCGTCAAGATATTTTCAATATTTTGTTTTCAATTAAAATATTAATTTGTCTTCGAAAAGATACCCGAAAGAATTGGCGTTCACTCACTTTGCAAGTTTTCAAACGAGCTTTCAAAGTACGTTACTTATTAGGAAATTTGGCGGCCACCTCACGTGCTGACTCCCGCTCGTTTCTCTAATGAGTATCTCTGCTTCCGTCGACTATATATGTAGATGTAGAGGATACCCGAGTGTTCGCTTGCGTCGACTAGAATTGTAAAATATTTTTCATTTCATTCCATGAGAATGTATTAGCAGTAAAAAGTATTTTATGAGTTCATCCTTCTTAGAATATACCTTTTACTTGCAATTTTGATTAGTTTACTCTGAGTTCTTATGTTGTTTATCTTTAATTTTGTGTAAATACTAAGTAGATTATAATACTAACTAGATGTTCATCTATACAAATGCATTTTTTTTATCTTAAATATACTAATATGCTCATATATTATAGATATTTATTTTAATTATTTTATATTTAATCGTTTTATATTTAACTTTACCTGATAGCATGTTTTCCTATAATAAATTGTAGTAACATTAATTTCAAATTCAAACTTGTAAAAGGTACGGCATTGAAATTTTGCACACGTCTACAAGACTGATAAAATATCGCTATAGATCCAGTATAGAATACTAAAGGTTACCATGAAACGTCCGGGCGTTTCATGGTAACCTTTACTAATAATAACCCCTATAGATATCAAATGAAAAGTGTCAACTGGCAGACTATGATAAACTGTGTAATGGATAATAATACCCATATTTAAGACGGACACTAAAGAATGAAGAATGATGATGATGAAATAAATCTCGCATCAAAAAAATATAAACCCAATGTGTGTAAAAGAGTACTAAATTGATTTTTATTTCTATAATTAAGCTTTATAATGTCAATTTATTAATACACTACGAATAGAATTCAATAACAGTAAATTTACAAGGTACTGAGGCATAACACCAAGTCCTCAAGATTTGACAACGCATGAAAGGTGCCATGGGCGTCGCAGAATACTCTATCCACGGTGCTTTTATGTCTATAGGTGACGCTAGCCGCTTTCTATCACTTTGTTTGCCATTCTAAGTTTAATAAATAAAAACTTATTTGTATTCTATTTACCTTGTATACCTTTTTATCTGTACGTTTCCTGCACTAGATTACCCGCTAATTATTTTCTCTGACTGCATTGGGTTGGCTGGAAGAATTCTCTTTTAGAGATAAAGCTACCCTTGCTAACAAGTTGTTAAACTAATCACTGTATCTTTTGTTTAAGTGCAATAAAGAATACATATATAAACTTTTATTACACTAAAATACTGTATAAGTCATTAAATAATAAATAAATAGTAGATACTTTAAAATCAAAATAATTAAAAAAAACGAGAACTAAAAATTCAGTGAATTAAAAATAAAAAAAAATGACAGCAATTTATTATTAAAAGTATAATAATAATTTAGATTGCACCTGTATAAGACGTTATTAGATTTATTTTAATTCGAAATATTCTGCCAATTAAAATAAAGCTAATGACGTATAGATTACATGATTATCATAAATTTTCAAAGAATATGTTACGTTGAATCCCTTAGTTGCCTATTACGATACCAACAGGAGAAAAAAAAGAGTAGCTTATTCTTTGCACATGGCAAATTACCATCATAATGTTACAAAATTATACTAGCATGACTTACATAATAGTGTTACCTAATATATAAATTATTTTCTGCAAAATCTTGTCAA